TGAATGCGGAAGTTTGTCCAGGGGGGCTGAAAATGGTTTTTTTTGAGATGCTAGTATTAATCAGCGACAAAAACTACATCAGACTGGTGAATATGAGCTTGATCTGAGAGGGGTCCGATTTTGCTTCTTATCGACCCCCGTCCTTTAACAGAAGAGGAAAAAACGTTCATGAAAAACTATGACAAATATCGAACATTTGCAGAGCAAATTAATTACAATTCTAGAGATTATTGTGTTGCCTATATGCAATGTAAAGTCGAGTATTATGCAAAGACTTCCAGCAGGGTGCAAAATAGAAAAGAAGTAGAAGAGCGTGCTGCTGATGTTAGAAATAATAAACCTGCTACTATGGCCGAAATAAGCCTCATGATGGAAAAATATGACATTAAGCTAAAATAGTTAATGATGCAAATTATCAGAGAACACAAGAAGAAATAGATAATGGTGTTGAAGTTATATGTGTAGAAAAAGGCGGTAAAGATGACAAAAATGCTGATCAAGTTCGACACGCTTATGACGTAGATGCAGATGGAAACCGCTTTGATGTCGAACCTAAGCCAAACGATTGTTTTTATAGAGCTTTTAGTAAAATATTAGAAAGACAAAAAGGTATAAAGAAATCTATACAGGATATTCGTAACGAATTAGCTGATGATATCGAAACAAATGGAAACTATTCGAAAGTAATGGAAGCAGAAAAATGGATACATGATCAACATCCTCAAGAGGCGAATAGTTTATTATTTAGTGCTGGTCGAAAACTTTCCATACCAGCAAGCTTCGGCAAGAAACATATAGCTAAGAACCTACGTGTAAAGCCACAAGCGACACCTCAACCACAGTCAAGTGGTGAAAATATGCCATTTGAACTTCAATCACAGTCAAGTAGTGAAAATAATGACCAAACAGATGACAGATATATAGCTGACAGACGTCAAGTTAAAATCAATACAATAATTCAAGAAACAGAGGAAAGTCTCATGCACAAAATAAAAGAAGCTGTGTAGGTTTAACCCCCTAAAAAAATCTTTTTTATGTATGAGTGATTTGTTTCATTTAAAAATAAAATAAAGATAGTATCTACCAAACAAAGCAAAGAAACTATAATTATGTGTTTTCCATTTAGTAATTGAGAGAAATGGTTAACAAAAGAAATTAAAAACAATCCTAAAATCGTTGTTGAGATGTGCTTCTAGACGAAACGACTGCCTGATACTACTGGTAAATTCTCAAAACAATAGGAAATCATAATGTACATATTTAGTGTGATCTTGAATTATATACATTATCTCGTCCAGTATAAACGATTCTTTGATTTTATACTATATTATAAATAATATAGTATAAACGTATAAACGTAGATTTTATACGAATATTATAAATTGCATTAGACTCATTTTCGAGTAACCTGTAGAGTATAGCAAAATCTAAACTTAAGTGAGTCATTATCTGTAGTACAGAACCGAATCCGAGATTGACTGTCATAAAATGTAAAACTTAGGTTAATAAATAGAAGGTAACGCTCGTCTCCACTTGCTCGGTCCCTTGACTTTATTAAGTTGGATCTGCGTACGCGAACGTCCTTTGGTGACTTTTAAATCGAACACAATGCTCACGCCTTCCTTCGTTCGGCGTTCGCTGTGGGCTTAACGAAGGCATCTTCTGGATTTTTGTTGATTTTTTATGTATAAGGTTCGTCCCAAGCAAAACCTGCCCAGCAAAAATATCTAGATGCATTCGCCTACGAGAAATCGAACTCGACCACTTCGTATCAGGATACATATCATATATAGAATTTTATATATATATACTTACGAAGCATTTACCGACTAGGCTATCCAGGCACATTGATCTACTTAATCGATATCTGTCATATCATGATGCAGATATAAAGGAAATTTAATGAAAAAATTGGAGTGCTGCTTTGGGAAAAACGAAACAGAATAAAAGACAAAACTGCTGGTTTTCAGTGATGTCATTGATGATAAGTAGTTCGTTTATTCTAAGAATTATAGTAAACATTCACATGTTTCGTCTTCATTAGGATATGTTTGGCGTTGCAAAATATGTAAAGCACACCGTTCAATTAGAGATCATACATTTTTCGGTGGTTCTCATCTAAGTTTGTTTCAAATGCTTGACTTAATGTTTTATTGGTCTCAAAAGATTGATTCTGTTGAATTTTTACATCGGCATTGTAAAATGCAAAGTAATTCAACAATTGTTGATTGGAGAAATTTTATACGTGATATTTGTGCAGAATATTTTCTGAGACATCCAGCAACTAGAAGTACAAATTCAAGTCTAAAACAGATCTACGTACCTATCTATATTTGCTTGACAAACATGTGGACCATATAGTGGACCTCATATAGTGGAGATTGATGAAAGCAGCTGGACAAAAAGAAAATTTAATGTTGGTCGCGTTCCAGTTGGAAATCAGTGGATTTTGGGGGAATTGATCGAGATACACGAGAATGCTTTGCTGTTCGTGAGGGTGAGGGTGAGGGGGGTGCAATACTTAATGCAGTACTTATCTAGTACTTATACTTGTTAACTTAGTTGCTAAGTACCTTTCTTACTTGCAAAAAACTGCAGGTACTCTGGACACTACTTATCCAAGTATTTTTCTAAGTACTTGTTCTCAAGTACATTGACTAGGGCTTTAACCAACGTTCTTATGAAATCTTGTCAGATGTCATATGCTCTTGTAAGGTCTTGTGGTGTCTTGTAATGTAAAATACAAGATCATATTTCAAGATTCTTCACCCTGAAAAGCTACATATTTTTTTATATGTCAACTAAAGCTTATTTTAATCGGATCTCAATGGCATAGCTTTTTGTGATAAAAAAAAGCAAAAACTCTTTTCAAAAGATAGGATTTTGAAAAGGTCCGTGGAAAATCCGTTCAGTGTTTCAAAATTTGCATTAGCAATGAAAACAATTCCAGATTTTAGGCGACACTGAACACTATTTATCTATCTCAAAAAATAAATACATTGCTACTTTAAACTCCGAACGAATTTTCTCCAGACCGTTTCAAAATAATACCTTCTAAAAAGAGCCTTTACTTTCTTTATCATAAAACACTATGGCATTGAGGTCCATTTAAAATAAGCTTTAATTTGATATATAACAACTAGTTGTACTTCTGGTGGTTTAGGCTGTAGCCCGTGGAAAAGACTGTTCTGCTATTCTATTATTCTAGTATTTTACTATTCTAATCATTTCTATCCAACAACTTGATTCATAATATAATGAAGTAATGCAAATTATGCACTACTAATATGCCTTAAAATGTTCTTCTATTCTACTGTGTATCCTACAATTCTAACTGGCAGTCCGAATACTAAACCAAGTGAAAATTTCTATCTAATGGAAATTCGCCCAGCTCTGAAATAAAATTCTCGTCCAAATTCTTTCATAATCTGTTCCGCGTATATTGTGAGGTTCTACTCACTCACTTCTCATATATTTATTTGCATAAAGTGAACGGCTATATATAGTACACAAGTTAAACAACAGTTATGCAAGAACAGAAAGAGTTGGGAAAACCGGAGGATGACACAAGTACTGCGCAAGAACAGAAAGAATTTGGGAAACAACTGGAAAACAGAGAAGAAAGGATGAAACAAGTGTTGCGCAAGAACAGAAAGAAAGCAAAAGAAGAAGAGAACATAGTCTTATGAGCTGCCTGGAATGGCAGATCACAACATATATTACTAATACAACACACAATATTGTCCTAGTTGGTTTTTTCCAGATGCAATACTTTTTATATAAGGCTTGAGAAATTATTGCAATATATACATTCAAACATTCTGTAATTTCGGTGTTACTGTCGAGTTTGTTGTTCTCATTTGGCTACATTGTGTCTTCTACATCATTCATCTAGGCCGTCAAGTATACTGTTTATGTTTGAAGACAATGATTTTGATAATGTTTTTATTTTATTTCATTTGATTATTCTAGAATCATTTAATTTCATATTGTTTTTTAGATATAAATTTCATTCTCTTGATTAATTGGAAAATTATGGATGCTATATCACACAAAGGTCGGTTGATAAAATGTATAATAACTTATTTCTTTTTACTTTTCAAATTTAGATATTCTTCAATTGGTTGATCTTAAAGATGGAAACTTTCAAACTATTTATCGATCAATTTACAATGATATCAATAAAAGAACAGGTGATCAGCGAAAAATGGATGAGATTCGTTGTATAATGGCAGATTCGAAAGACTGGAAAATTGATCTTGCAATATGGTGTCTTATTGACAATTGCGAAAGAATATATATTACTTCACTTGATATTTGTGACTTAAAGAATGGATTAAAAATACTTTCTGATAGTCAAAAAGTATATAATACAGTTGATATAATTGAAATGATAATTCCTCATCAAACTTCTACATCTTATCTACGTCGAGTTCGTAATCTTATTCAATTATGCATTTATTTACAAACAGGAGTTCGTACCATTTATTTTAAAAGGAATCGGGATGGCCAATGTCGCACTTTTGACCAAATTTTTATTGAATTAAAATTAATTTGGTTAGAAAACGTTTTACCATCATTAGTTAATCGATCACATCTCGATCATCCAAAACATTTTTTACAATGTAATATACAAATTGTATGAAATTGTATGAAAACAAATTGTAGGAATGCAGCATTACTTACGAAATGAAAAATGCGTTTCGTCAAAAAAAACCATTCTATCTTTTTAATGCAGTTTTTCAAGTGTTCTGCACGTATAGCAGGCATATGAGAAATACTACTATTGCAGTTGTTTGTTGTTTTCATCGATGCGAGATGATTGTCCTTATTTACCTAAAATACTGAATTCTTGAAGCCGTGAATTTGTTGTCGGTAAAGGCAATACTACTTATGATAAAAATTTTAAATAACACCTCTAAAATGTTATCTCTAAAACTAGCTTTCTAGGAGATATCCAGAAACACAACTTTCCGAAACTGTTTTTCCAGTGCGTAAAATCTATTCTGTTCTGCGTTAGCCATGCGATAATTGCCCCAGAGGGCTCCAGCTGACATATGAAGCTATGAAACGTGACACTCGACAGGTGTTCGGGTCTCTAGAGAATAATTTTGATAGCATCGACCCTCTTAATATACTTCAGCTCCAGATGTTTCACATTAAGAGGCACCATCGAACAGATAGTCTCCATCAATGTAGTACCGATACCATGACGAGATCCCGTTTCCATTTTGAGTGAACGAATATTACATACCCGTTGAAGGAATGCAGCGAGGCCGACTATAGTTACCGAGAGGACGCCTTCAGCATTACCAAATTGAAATGAGAGTTTAACGAGCTGTGAGAGATCGATTAGCGTCGAAAGGAACTTCACTGAGCCGACCGGCCATTCGCCAGAGACGATCAGGGTGAAGTTCCTCACATTGCGAAAGAAGTAATAGCTTTGCGGTTCACTCTAAAAGTACAAAAAGGCATGTACACTGTCGAAAATGTAATCGATGAAATAATGTCTAGGTATCACTGGTCGATGAACCAAAATCTGAAATGCTCTTCAGCTCGTTTCGATTTATTCCGAGATTTGTAGAACTTCTCTTATTGATCTGCTTTTGACGTGGAAAAGGGATCAAATTCTTTCAACAGCGATTGAAGTGCTTTTAAGATTTTGTACTGAACCCAACTGACTTGTCTTTGGTCTGTTTTCAATTTACTCCAGAAATTGAAATATTTCCTTACGAATGAATTTTCTTCCATCGAAACTTTTTCAAAAAAAAGGTGGGCCGCATACACTGTATGATACAATGCTTTCCTGAGATTCTAAATGAGTATGTGCTTTATTTTCTCAAAGAATGACTAAGTGCACAAAATCAGCGTTTCCTGTTTTGTTCAGAGCATACCAAAAGGGAGCATTTTAACATCAAACGACAAGAGATATGTCTGCATTCATGAAATAAAACAAGCTCGTGGTCATGCATACCATTTCTTCAGTCGCAGCAGCCATCACCTTTGC